GCTGGCTGAGGAATTCTGGGAGTTGAAGTCCACAAGTCATCAAAGGGCCACGTTTGAAGACCCCTGTCTTAAATCTAACAAACAAAATGGAGGCTGGCTGAGGAATTCTGGGAGTTGAAGTCTACAAATCATAAAAGAGCAAAGTTTGAAGACCCCTGTCTTAAATCTAACAAACAAAATGGACGTTGGCTGAGGAATTCTGGGAGTTGAGGTCCACGAGTCATAAAAGGGCCGAGTTTGAAGACCCCTGGTATAAATAAACCATTTTTAAGATGGGTGGACTTCAAACCCCCAGAATTCCCCAGCTGGCCTCCTTTCACACGTCTGGACTTCAATTCCCAGAATTCCCCAGCCAGCCATGCTGACTAAGGAACTCTGGGAGTTGAAGTCCTTACGTCAAGGTTGCTAAGCTTGAGAAACATTTGGCAATTAACGAAAGGCCACCTGTAGGGGGCGTCTACGGCTCCTCCCCGAAAAGTCCGCGCTCCTTTAGGGCGAGGGGGCGTGGAAAAAGGGGGCGCGGCTCATGCAAATAAGGGGGCGGAAAAATGAGGCGCGCGTGTGACGTTGCCGAGGAAGGCCGGCCCCACCGCTTGAGCGTCATCCCCGCGAGCCGCTGACGTCCCAGAAGGTTGGCCGGGAGGCGACCGGTGGACGGGGCGGGATTTCCTGTCCGCGGACCGAGCGGGGGAGGCCGAAGTGAGCGGCGGGGAGCCAACCGGCCGCTGCCGTCGCCATGATCAAGAAGTTCGACAAGAAAGATGAGGAGTCCGGTAGGGGTCACCCTGATTTACGTTAAAGCGGTTGCTAGGCAGATTTAAGGAGTCCCTTCCCTGCGGGGCTGTCAGCCCCGTTGATTCCCTCTGAGAGACCGATTTGCTCCGCCCCTAGGGGGCGTGGCTCACGCATTCTCTCCTGAGAGGTTCGAAGCAGTTAGCTGAGTTTGGGGGCGTGGTCAGGGAGGGCGTGGCATCAGGAGCAAGGGGAAAGAAGAAGAAGCTGTTCCGGCTTAGCTACCTCCCCCCTCCGGGTTGCCACAAACCCACTTTTTCATTGCACGTCTGAACGGGCGCGCTGCATCTGTTTGGGGGGCCATGCAAAGCGGGCCGGCAGATTGGACCTTCTGGGTCAAGGGGCTCCTGGGGGCCCAGGTCGGGGTCCCTGGGCTGAGGGGTCCCTGTGTTGCCTCTGTGCGTTTCTCAGGTGTGTTACTTAGCAGCCAGCAATGAAACTTCCCCCCCCCCCAAAATAGATGGGAAACGCGTGTTAGAGGAGGGTCTCTTTGGGGCAAGGGGTGAAGCTGGGTTGGGGGAGAGCTGGGGCTGAACCGGGACCCCCGCCCCTCAATGCTGGTTGTCTTGCAAAGAAAAAAAGCCCAGGATTTAACTCCTAGAATTCTTGTTAAGGAAGGGACCCTTAGAGGTCATCTAGTCTGACCCCCTTCCCCAAGGCAGGAGTCTTTATACGTCCTCGACGTACGGCCACAATGGAGCCCAAAATTGTTGCGGTCGAGCGAGACATTGGGTTAAAGTGAGTTTTTGTCCCATTTTTACGACCTTCCTTGCCTCAGTCGTTAAGCGAATCACTGCAGTTGACAAATTAGCAACCCCGGTGGTTCAGTGAATCTGGCTTTCCCCCATGAACTTGGCTCGTCGGAAGGTCGCAAAAGGGGGACCGCCTGACCCCGGGACACTGCAACCGTTGTAAATATGAACCCGTTGACAAGCGTCCGGATTTTGATCGCGTGACCATGGGGAGGCTGCGACGGTCGTAAGTGTGAAAAACGGTCCTCAAGTCGCTTTTTTGGGTGCCATTGTAACTTTGAATGGTCACTAAATGAACTTTTGTAAGTTGAGGATCAGGAGGTATGAAACCTTGGTCACTTTAAGACCTGTGGACTTCAACTCCCAGAATTCCCCATGGATCAGAGGCGTGCCTTCGTGGACTATAATTGTTTGCTGGTTGTGTGCCAACTACTTCCGGGCACTTTGATCCATACCAATCGTAGCACAACTGTTAAATCCCAATAAATGCTGGCTGGGGAATTCTGGGAGTTGAAGTCCGCCCCTCTTCAAGCAGAGGAAATTGAGAAACACTGCCCTACACACTGCTTCAATGCCTCATTGCAACTACGTCCAACGTCCTTTTATGTTTCTCCTGCCGTGCAAAACTGGTTTTTATACATTACACAATCTCAGGTAAAGACTTCGAGTGATTAGCCACCACGTAGCTTTTCCGCAGGACGATCTGTCCTCAACCTGTTTCTTCAGGTCTTCCAGGTGCAACTATCACCTGACCAGCACGAAGAATCAGGATTACACATAATGTCCAGTTCAGAAGACTTATTACTCATGCCTGTGCAGAAGAATCTGGTCAACTGACGGTCAGCACTAAATTGGCTCTAGATAAAAGTCAATGTAATTCAAGGAGGATTGGACTCAGAGCCTTTGTGACAACGTAATGATTCGAAGCTGATTCCTCTCTTGACTCCACCGCCAGCCTCTGCTTCTTCTTTTCCTACAAGACTTTCCATGTCTGAGCAAAGGCGGACTCTCTAGCCCAGTCCCTTTCCCAAAGAGTGATCCTAACTCTTGGATTAAGAGTGGGGGACTGACTCAAAGTGTCCCAGATAGCCTCCGTGCTTCAGACTAGACTTGAATTCCCATCGTCTCAATCTTAATCAACACTAAACTACAAATGAGGGACCCCAGGTTCAGAGACCCTCCACACCTGTCTTACTGCCAAGCATTTGGGGTCACACGGTCCTTGTGTGGCCAACACCGCCAGGTTGACTAGGAGAGGAAATGTGAGTTGACGACTATCTCTAATGTACTACTAAAGCTCTCTTTCACCTTTCACAATGCCTCACAGGGCAACCATTTTTGAACCACGTGCTAATGTACAGAATGTGTCCCAAAATCTTCCATTCCTGAGGGAATGAAATTTGGCGAAATGGCGGCTGCTTCGGTACTGGGGGCTGCTGCTTGTAGTCACACAATCATCATTTTTCAACCTTCTGTGACAGTTTCCCAGCCAATCTCGCAATCCCTCATTCCCTCTGATACTTGTACAGAGTCGTATTACAATGTCATTTCACTTTTGATAGTGTAGACCAGGGGTAGGCAACCTTGGCTCTTTTATGACTCGTGGACTTCAACTCCCAGAATTCCTGAGCCAGCTGTGCTGGCTCAGGAATTCTGGGAGTTGAAGTCCACGAGTCATAAAAGAGCCAAGGTTGCCTACCCCTGGTGTAGACAGTTCAAGACTTGGAAAGAATTCACAAGGCCAAGAACACCTGTTTTGCCTCATCGCTGTCATGTAGGACTCCTATTTCTTGCGCATTTTCACATTGCAAACCAGCGTCCGTCCCGTGGTGATGAGACCCATTGATGGGAAGGTCTGACCTGGTGTTCCCGAAAGTATCTAAGGCAGCTTTGCAAATCCCTCTTCTTTGAAAAATGTTAGGCTCACGTCATGTATTCTTGTCTTCTTCAGGTAGCGGCTCGAACCCGTTCCAACATTTGGAGAAAAGCGCGATCCTTCAGGAGGTATGGTGGGGGTCTTCCTCGACTTTATTCTGTTTTGTGGGTCCTGTCTTTATGGCCATCCATCTCAAGTGCCGTGACTGTGGTTGGGGTGCAAAGCAGACCATACTTTTTGTTTTTTGTAATTGCTTGTCTCCTCTCCTAAGGAGGTCCATCTGGTGGGACCCAGAAGAAGGGCCTTCTCCGTGGTGGCTCCTTCCCTGTTATTTTAAGGACCTTATTTTCCCAGTCAACTTGACCCACCATAGCAGGGAGGCAGGGGATGTTATGGGTCCCCTCTCTTGAGGAGGTCCACCTGGTGGGACCAAGAAGAAGGGCCTTCTCCGTGGTGGCTCCCTCCCTGAGGAACATCATCCCTGTGGAGATAAGATTGGAAATCAGATGTTATGGGTCCCCTCTCTTGAGGAGGTCCACCTGGTGGGACCCAGAAGACGGGCCTTCTCTGTGGTGGCTCCTTCCCTGTTATTTGAAGGACCTTATTTTCCCAGTCCACGTGATCCACCAGAGCAGGGAGGCAGGGGATGTTATGGTTCCCCTCTCTCAAGAAGGTCCACCTGGTGGGACCCAGAAGAAGAACCTTCTCCGTGGTAGCCTACCTAACCATCATCCCTGTGGAGATAAGATTGGAAATAAGATGTTAGGGGTCCCCTCCCTTAAGGAGGTCCACCTGGTGAGACCAAGAAGAAGGACCTTCTCGTGGTGGCTCCCTCCCTGAGGAACACCATCCCTGTGGAGATAAGATTGAAAATCAGATGTTACGGGTCCCCTGCCTTAAGGAGGTCCACCTGGTGGGACCAAGAAGAAGAACCTTCTCTGTGGTGGCCCACCTGACCATCATCCCTGTGGAGATAAGATTGGAAATCAGATGTTAGGGGTCCCCTCCCTTAAGGAGGTCCACCTGGTGGGACCAAAAAGAAGGGCCTTCTCCGTGGTGGCTCCCTCCCTGAGGAACATCATCCCTGTGGAGATAAGATTGGAAATCAGATGTTATGGGTCCCCTCCCTTAAGGAGGTCCACCTGGTGGGACCTAGAAGAAGGGCCTTCTCCGTGGTGGCTCTTTCCCTGTTGTGCTCCAGTTTATCGACGGCCTTTTCGAAGGGTGGGGTCCAGAATTGGACCCGGGATCCCACGAGAAACGTCAGCAAGATGGGACTCTGACTACCCCCGAGTTCGACTCTACGCTTCCGCTCGTACATCCAAAACAGCGTTTCCTCCGATTTGAAGGCCTTGATTTTCTCTTTCCCCTCCAGGCCCGCATTTTCAACGAGACGCCCATCAATCCACGGAGATGCCTGCACATACTAACCAAGATCCTTTACTTGCTGAACCAGGTAACATGCAGCTGCTTCCGTGCAGGACTAGCTGCGGACTTGCGCTTTTCCATCTGAGCCGGCTTG